ATGTGGGTGCAGGGGCCCAAGGACTAGAGCCATCTTCTACTGCTTTCCCAGGCCATAGCAGAGAGCTGATGGGAAGTGGAGCAGCTGAGACTCGAACCGGCACCTATATGGAATGCCGGCACTGCAGGAGCCAACTTTACCCGCTATACCACAGTGCTGGCCCCATGATTTACATTTTAAAAAGGGGATTTGAGAAATATGAAATCATGGTAGAACACTTCATAGGCTACTTTATACAATCATGTAGGCAATAATTTTTCAATAAACACTCAGTCATGATATTAACACTCATGTATTTCCCTAATTTCTAATGAAGTTTAGCAATATTTTTGTGAGCTTTATTGCCCATTTTTTAATATTTTCTGAAATTTTGGTCAAATATATGACCCTGGGAGACCAGAGATGTAACCACATCAAATGTTTTTTTTTTTTAACCTATCAAGTGGCGTTTTACCTATCATATAGTAGATTAAACCCAAGACAAGAAAAGCACTCATCCTTCAAGTCTGGCATTGAAGTGTTTGGGGATTGAGGACAGTGGGTTAAGTTGCTGCCTGAAATACCAGCATCCCACATGGGCACAAGGTCAAATCCCAGCTGCTCCACACTGGATCCAGCCCCCTTCTAATATGCCTGGGGAAGCTGGCCCAAATGTTTGGGTCCCTGCCACCCATGTGGGAGACACGGATGGAGTTCCAGACTCCTGGCTTTAGCCTGGCCCAGCCTCAGCTGTTGCAGCCCATTGGGCAGTGAATTAGTGGATGCGATCTCTCTCTCTCTCTCTCTCTCTCTCTCTCTCTCTGTTTCTCCCTCCCTCTGTAACTCTGCCTTTCAAATACATACATGTTTTAGAAGCACTCGGGGATTGCATTGCACTTCTAGTGTAACCTGTGGCAGGGTCTCCTGCTGCCTGTGCGGTCATTCCCAGGCATTCCCTTCCTTCTATAGGCTTCTAAGCTGTGCAGCAAGTGCTTGGGCTGCAGCGTCTTGCAAGGCTGTTTCTGAGGTTGGCTTCCCTTCAGTCCCACGGGCAGGCTGCAGAGTTCCAGCAGGAGTCCTTGTCTTACCATTTCTGTCGAGGCTCCATGCCTACCTCCTGCCCTATATATAAAGCAACACTTACATTATTTTGTCTGAGCCCATGGATAAACAAACAAAGACGCGAGACCAAACAAGGACACGAGTACAGCCACATCGTGATAATCACTTGGATCTATCTTAAGCACCGCAGCGTATGACCAGTCTCCACATAATAAGTGTAATTTATTTTTATCTTTGAAACAATGTTGTGGGGCATTATTATTATTTCCATTTTACAAGTGAGGAAAATAAAGGCTCAGGGGTTGGGTGAGCTGCCTATGGTCACCCTCCCTCAGCTGCTCTTTCTGAGAAAGGGGAGCTGTGGCTGGGATTCACAAGCGACCACATGGTGGAGACCACCCGATCTCTATCGTCACAGACTGGTGGATGGGGATGAAGGAGAGGAGGCCAAGGAAGCTCGAGATGCTTCGCTCCTCTGGCTCCTGAGGGTGCTGGCCAAAGCTGGCTCAGAGGACGGGGGCAGTTTGTTCTGTGCTATAACTTGAGGAGGCCCTCAAAGAACTCCCACCAAAATCTACTTCCTGGGCATGCACAGTGCCTCCGTCTGCACTGTCACCATTGCCTCCTAGTTAGGGAAGTGCTCCTAAAACCTTTCAGCCGCAGCTCTCAAAAGGCAGAGGCACATAAAGGCCTCTCCGGGGGATCAGAAGTGCAGCCCGCAAGAGGGAACTCGGAGAGATTTTTTAAAAAGATGTCTGCATTCAGGGACTGGTGTTGTGGTGCTGTGGGTTAAGCCATGCTTGCAAGGTCAGCATCCCATAGGAACACCAGCTCGTGTCCCGGTTGCTCTGCTTCCAATCCAGCCCCCTGCTAATGCACCAGGGAGAGCAGTGAAAGATGGCCTGAGTGCTTGGGTCCCTGCACCCATGTGGGAGACCCGGATGAAGCTCCCAGCTCCTGGCTTTGGCCTGGCTCAGCCCCAGCACTTGAAGCTATTTGGTGAGTGAGCCAGTCGATGGAAAAAAATCTCTTTTTCTCTGTCTCTCCCTCTCTGTAACTCTGCTTTTCAAATAAATAAAAATAAGTATTATAACAAAAGCAAGCCTGGCTCCTCCCCACCATGTGATCTTGCTTCTCTCACCATGTGATCTCATGATGTGATACCATTCACCATATATTATATATATATATATATATACTTTTATATAAAAACATAAGATTGATTTGTTTGAAAGGCAGAGTTACAGAGAGAGAGGGAGGGAGAGAGAGATCTTCCATTCTCAGGCTCACTCCTCAAATTCCCGTAACAGCCATGGCTGGGCCAGGCTGAAGTCAGGAGCCTGGAATCCATCTGGGTCTCCCACATGAGTGTTAGGGGTCTAAGCAATGGACCATCTTCCGCTGCTTTCTCGGGAGCATTAGCAAGGAGCTGGATTGGAAGCAGAGTAGCCGGGACCTGCACAGGCCCTCATGCAGGATCCCAGCCGGGCAGAGGCTCACCCTGCTGCGCAACAATCCCAGCCCCAACCCCTCACCATGTTTAGAGGCAACCAGAAAGCCCTTCCCAAAGGCCACCAAGATGGGTCCAGCCTTGACCTTCCAGCCTCCAAAACTGTGAGTTCAATGAATTTCTTTACTTTAAAGTATCCAGCTTCGGATAGTCTTTCATAGCAACAACAAAATGAACTAAGACATCCATATTGCTGGTATCTCTGACATAATGGGGGGCATAGATTTTGGGATCTTAGAGACCTGGGTTCAAGTCCCGACTCTGCTAAGTGTGCCATCTTTGTTAAGAAGCTTATATTCGCTCAGGCTCATTTTCCTATCTCTACTTCTCAGGGCTGTTGGGAAATGGAGTAACAGAATGCCCATAGGGACCTGACATGCAGCAGGGGTCAAATAAATGCTCATTTGTTTTCTCACAGTTTGGGTGAGGCAGAATGACCAGCATGTGTGGAAACAATTAGGATCCGCATACCAGGAGGGACATGTGGCCCCACCAGCTGAGAGCAGGGGGAGAAATACCCTTCCCATACAATAATCTTACTGTTTTTCCTCCCCAGGAGCATCTAGTCATAGCGTCAGCCTCTACCCACTAGGTTTTACGTAATCTTAACCTCTTCCCCTCTCACCTTTTGCAAACTTTCTCATCGTACTTAGCCTGGAAGCCTCACGTAAATCATTCAACTCAGCCTGGGCTTGGCCGCGAGCTCAGCCTCAATGTGATGCTGCCGGCGATGGCCTGTTTCTAAGGCAACCTCAGGGCACCCTGGGAAACCCCTTATTAAAAAGTGGCCCTGACTGTAGTGTCAATGGTGGCAGAGGAGCAGGCCCTGCATGAGTCATTTTCCTAGAGAGTCAAAGCAGGACTCACCCTCACGCACTGGCTCAGAACACCCCTGCCTGTCTTCTGTTCTACAGGCAGGAAGCAACAGGACAGAAGTGAGTGCCATGACGCGGTGCAGAGATGCGCTTTGATGGGGCCCTGTTCTCCTGGCTGCGCTTTCTTTAGTTGTTGCTCGACTCAGAGCTTTGGTCTGCTGTTTCCTGCTCAGCTCTTCACTCTGTGGGTGTGTGGAAGGACTGCGTGCAATCCAAGAAACTTCTCACACTTGAGGAAGGATCCAGGCCACATTTCTTCCCTCTCTGGGAGATGAGCCTATTTCTAGAATGTTCCAGGAGCTGGCGCTGCGGCTCACTAGGATTATCCTCCACCTGCGGCGCTGGCACACCAGGTTCTAGTCTCTGTCAGGGCGCCGGATTCTGTCCCGGTTGCTCCTCTTCCAGTCCAGCTCTCTGCTGTGGCCAGGGAGTGCAGTGGAGGATGGCCCAAGTGCTTGGGCCCTGTACCCCATGGGAGACCAGGAGAAGTACCTGGCTCCTGGCTTTGGATCTGTGCGGTGCGCCAGCCGCAGCGCACCGCCAGAGCGGCCACTGGGGGGTGAACCAACAGAAAAGGAAGACCTTTCTCTGTCTCTCTCTCTCACTGTCCACTCTGCCTGTCAAAAAAAAAAAAAAAAAAAAAAAAAAAGTTCCAGGGCACTGGTTCACATCTCAGCTGCTGCACTTTTAATCCAGCTCCTTGCTTATGGCCTGGGAAAGCAGCAGAGGGTGGCCCAAGTGTTTGGGCCCCTGCTACCATATGGGAGACCCAGAAGAAGTTCCTGGCTCCTGTCTCAGTCTGGCCCAGAACTGGCCATTGTGTCCATCTGGGGAGTGAATCAGAAGATGGAAGATCTCTTTCTGCCTATCTCTCCCTCTCTTTGTGTAACTCTTTCAAAATAAGAAATAAATCTTTTTTTAAAAAAAGTCCCTTCCATTTCCCATTTCTGAGACTGACAATAGACACAAGCATGAAGAAGCATACTGTATCCTTGAAGACATTTTTATCCCTGGCCAGATCTGTTTTACCCAAATCCTGGGAAAATGTCAGCCCTGAGCACCCATGTTGTGACTCCCTGGCTTTGTGCTGGTCTCCCAGAGCAGGCAGCCTCTCTTGCACTTGTTTGTCTGAAGTGGCATTGGAGCAAGGATCCAAGTTCACCTATCATGGTCATGTGACATAGTGGAATGAGATCATATGATATATGGCATGGGGATCACGGATTGTGTGACATTGGAATGGGGAACTCAGCTTTGTAGGTAAACAACTAATCCAGGAATGAGAGCTGCTTGTACTTCCTGCTTATTTATCTTTTTATCTCTTCCTATTTTCAAATTTAGAAGCTATTTACCTCGCACAATTTTAGATATCCAGAAGCAATCCATAAAATAGATGCCTCCAGTACAATCTGGGGGGTTCATTAGCTTTATTAATTAATAGTGGATAGGAAACACTTTGAAGTCCTTTTATTAAAGAGGCTACCCACACACAAAGTACTATTATAATCGGGTCTAATGAGGTCAGTGGTTTAAAATGTGGGGTTTAAAACCATCTATAAAGCTCCTCTACCAATCGTTGGTACAAGGTGAAGGAAAAAGAGGCAGGGGAGTCTCCATGCTGGCTTTTAAAAGCTTCCTCCGTGGCAGCAGAGCCACACTGAGGTCTGCTCAGGTGAGAGCAGAGGTGCAGGGATCCACTGACCATTGGATTCTCCAACTGTTGAACCTATGCTGTAGGACAAAGATCACGGCTTTGTAAAGGCTTCACGCGCAGCTTGCTGCTGAGTACAGAAGACCTCAGCGAGGGGGAGACTTTCTCTGTGAGGTTGCACAGCCAGGTGAGTGCTGAGCATCTTGTATCTTATGAAACTTACGGGCTGTCTTTTGAATGAAACCTAGGAAAGAGTTGATGGGGAAAAGTCTCTTCCAAGTCATGTTCTCTGATGCCATAATTAATCTACTGTCTTGTTTCCCCTAGGGAGACTGTAGTACAAGAACAGGGCATGCAGGGATGAAAGTGGGTGTGGGGTCACATAGACACAATGGGCATGGGACCCTTGTCAATGTGAAGTTGGGTTCGGATGAGTGGGGTCATTATGCTTAGGGAAAAATGATCCGATGAAGCACACTGAGACTATGAGAATACTATCTTGAACTGGAAAATGTGTATTGAATTGGAAACGAGTCTAAATTTTTTTTAAGCAAAGCAAATTTCCTTTAAGATATTCAAGTTTTAAAATTAACTCATTTCTCTTTCAAATTAGAACAGGTCCATGCTGACTCCTGTCATCCTTTTGGGATTTATTGCCCTCATTGGTAAGTCATTGACTGACATCTACCATTGTTTGCAGGGTTTCCACGAAAACATCTAGTGCTGTCATGAATTAGAAAGAGTAATGACTGCAAGTAATGGAAGAGTGGGCACTCCTCCTGATTAGCTTGACCACTAGCCAACTGCTTTTTTACATAATGTGTATTTGGTTTGCCAAGAAGTCGATATCAGTGGAAATTTTAAATAATCAAGTATCAATTGGTCTGCTTACTTCCTGTCTGACAGTGCACCTACCAAGCTTGATATCTTACTGAGAGGTATATGAAGAGTGCTTTGGGAGGCTAGATACGTAGAGAGAAAATTATCCATGCCAAGCAGTAGATAAAAGTTAAACGAGTGTGAACAGAATAAAACCACTATGCTGGAAGGAATTTGGAAGGAAGAGCTCATATCAAGCCTGGATGCTCACATCTGAAAGGCTGCAGTTGTGGTAGACATAAAAGTTGAAGTTCAGTGATTTAATAAGACCAGGGAAGAGCCTGCTGGAAGGGAAGAATGACTCCAGCAAAAGAAATGCATGACATACATTTTGGATATAGCAGGCAAGTCCTTGTGACAGGACAGACAAGGGGACTTCTAAGGGGAAGGCTAGAAAGGTAGGTTGGTGAGATGGTAAGGAACCTTGAATAAGAGATCAAAACTTAAGTCTAAGAAAAATAGGGAGCCATTGTAAGCAGTGTTCAAGTTGTCTTTATTTGTAGGGTGATGATTGAAAAGGAATTGTTTCTCAAATGTTTAATTCTAAATTTGGAGAAGGGAGGTTACTCAAAGGCAATGATTTCCTGTTGCTTATGGTCAAAGATGAGGAAACATATTTTTATTTGTTTATTCCTTTTTAAATTGCTGCATAGAAGCAGGGTCAGAGAGCCAGTAGACTAATTATGAGTTACCATGCTAGCTGCGTATAACTGACATGTGACTCTAATAAAAAATGGACCTGGGTGTTTAGTACAGGGACCAGGGTCATATTCCAGTTCCCTTAATGCAGTGCTTCTCAAGCTTTATGTACAGAAGTCAACTGGGATAGTTGGTTAAAGTGTGGACTGTCTGACCTGATACCTAGATTCTGGTATTAGGTGCCCAGTGATCTGTATTTTTTTTAACTTTTATTTAATGAATATAAATTTCCAAAGTACAGCTTAGGGATTACAATGGCTCCCCCACCCATAACTTCCCTCCCACCCGCAACCCTCCCCTTTCCCGCTCCCTCTCCCCTTCCATTCACATCAAGATTCATTTTCAATTCTCTTTATATACAGAAGATCAGTTTAGCATATATTAAGTAAAGATTTCAACAGTTTACATCCACATAGAAACACAAAGTGAAAAATACTATTTGAGTACTAGTTATAGCATTAAATCACAATGTACAGCACATTAAGGACAGAGATTCTACATGAGGAGTAAGTGCACAGTGACTCCTGTTGTTGACTTAACAAATTGACACTCTTGTTTATGGCATCAGTAATCACCCTAGGCTCTTGTCATCAGTTGCCAAGGCTATGGAAGCCCCCCCCCCCACTTTTTTTGACAGACAGAGTGGACAGTGAGAGAGAGAGAGGGAGAGAGAGACAGAAAGGTCTTCCTTTGCTGTTGGTTCACCCTCCAATGGCCACCGCGGCCAGCACGCTGAGGCTGGCGCACCGCACTGATCTGAAAGCAGGAGCCAGGTGCTTCCTCCTGGTCTCCCATGGGGTGCAGGGCCCAAGCACTTGGGCCATCCTCCACTGCACTCCCTGGCCACAGCAGAGAGCTGGCCTGGAAGAGGGGCAGCCGGGACAGAATCCGGCGCCCCGACTGGGACTAGAACCCGGTGTGCCGGCGCCGCTAGGTGGAGGATTAGCCTATTGAGCCGCAGCACCGGCCTATGGAAGCCTTTTGAGTTCACCAACTCTGATCATATATAGACAAGTTCGTAGTCAAAGTGGAAGTTCTCTCCTCCCTTCAGAGAAAGGTACCTCCTTCTTTGATGACCTGTTCTTTCCACTGGGATCTCACTCATGGAGATCTTTCATTTAGGTCATTTTTTTTTTTTTTTGCCAGAGTGTCTTGGCTTTCCATGCCTGAAATACTCTCATGGGCTTTTCAGCCGGATCCACATGCCTTAAGGGCTGATTCTGAGGCCAGAGTGCTGTTTAGGACATCCACCACTCGATGAGTCTGCTGTGTATCTCGCTTCCCATGTTGGATCGTTCTCTCCCTTTTTTATTCTATCAGTTAGTATTTGCAGACACTAGTCTTGTTTATGTGATCCCTTTGACTCTTAGTCCTATCATTATGATCAATTGTGAACAGCAATTGATCACTTGGACTAGTGAGATGGCATTGGTACATGCCACCTTGATGGGATTGAGTTGGAATCCCCTGGCACGTTTCTAACTCTACCATTTGGGGCAAGTCAGCTTGAGCATGTCCCAAATTGTACATCTCTTCCCTCTCTTATTCCCACTCTTATATTTAACAGGGATCACTTTTCAGTTAAGTTTCAACACTTAAGAATAACTGTGTATTAATTACAGAAATATGCTGAGCGAAATAAGCCAGTTCCAAAGGGACAAATATCATATGTTCTCCCTGATCGGTGACAACTAACCGAGCACCAAAAAGGAAACCTGTTAAAGTGAAATGAACATTATGAGAAACGGTGACTTGATCAGCCCTTGCCCTGACTGTTGATGAACCACTTAATACGTTATCCCTCTTAGTATTTTTGTGTGTGTGTGTTCTACTTAATGCTATTGGTTGAATTCTGTAGTGATCTGTATTTTTAATAAGCAGCCCAGGTCACTTTGATGACTCTGGTCTGCAGGTCAGAGTGAACATGGCAAAGGCCCCCCAGTAAAAGGACATTGAACCTGTCAATATATTGACACAATCCAAATAGTTTAGATAAACCCCTTTCCCCTTCCTTCATCCATGAAGTTATTCGCTGAACAAATATCTATTGAATATCTGCTTTGTGTCAGGAATTGTGTCAGGTGCGGAGGAGGGTACAGCCAAGAAAAGCATGGAGTCCTTGCCCTATGGAGTAAGATAGAGAGAGAAGTGGGTGGGGAATAGGGGGGATGGAAAGAAGTTAGGAAGGAAGGAAGGAAGGAAGGAGGGACAGAAGGAGAATAAAGTGGCGGTAAGAGGTGTGAATACAATAATCTAAGACCATGGGGATAAGGAATGAGAGATGAATGTCTTTTTAATATGGGTGTACAAGAAAGTCTCTCAGATAAAGTAACTTTAAAGATGCTTTTTATTATAGAAAATTTCACATATACAAAACACAGAGACATATATTCTCCCACATAAGGAAGGTTCAAAAGGTTCATAGAAATGGAATTAAAGGCCAAGTTTATTTTGGTGCAAAAAAAGTTTTTTGAAATCCATACATAGTTTATAATACACATTTTCCATGAACTTTTTCAACTCTCATGTACCCACAACCAACTTCTACAATGTTCAACATTTTGCCATTATTATTTTTTCCGATCTTTATCCCTACTGTGTGTGTGTGTATTTTAAAGCAAATCTAACATATCAAACCATTTCACCTGGAATGGGTGTTTGGCCTAGTGGTTGAAATGCAGGCTGGGGGACTTGTATCCAATATCAGAGTGCGAGTTCAAGTCCTGGCTCCGATCCCTAATCGCAGCTTCCTGCTAATGTGCATTCTGGGAGGCAGCAGGTGATGGCTCAAGCAGTGGGTCCCTATCATCCATGAGGGGGCCTTGATTTGTTTATAGGCTCCTGGCTTCAGCCAGGCCCAGCCCTGGCCATTGTGGGTATTCGAGGAGTGAATAAGTGGATGGGAGCCCTGTCTATCCACCACTCTCTCTGTCTGTCTGCCACTATATAAATAAGGCTGTAACCTTAAAGAAAAAAGATTTTAAACATTCACCTATAAATTATTTTGTGTGTGCCTAACACATAAGCTGCAGCTCTGGTGCAAGAAGACGGTCCTGGCTCATCTTGAGCATTTCCTGGTTCAGACCAGGCTCTGGCCATTTTCCTGGGGAGCACTGGCTCCTCTTAGCTGGTAATGGTACTTAGGGATCACAGTTTGGATACTAGGGGTGCTCCACTGCCTCGGGGTTGTAAATCCTTCTAAGTTAAAGAAACATAATTATGCATTCATACAAATATCTCACATTCATATTTCAGAACACAAGGGCTTTATATTTGCATCTGCTATTTTATAGTAAAGATCTTAATTCTAATTGAATTAACATTACTTGTTTATGTAAAATAACATCAAAATAATTATGACAGTATTATTGACCAACAAGACAGTGAATATAGTTTATTATTTTCTTATTTGTTTTATTTTTAACTTTTACTGGATAGACAGAGGGGAGAGAGAGAGAGAGAGAGAGAGCGTGAGCGCTCATTGTCTGGTTCACTCCCTAAATACCCACCAACCCAGGGCTTGGCCAAGGTTGAAGTTGGGATCCTAAACTCAATCCACGTCTCCCAATGGGTGGCAGGGACCTCGTTCCTTGAGCAGTCATTCGCTGCCTCTCAGCACGTGTATCAGCAGGAAGTTGGAATCTGGCACAGAGCCAGGACTTGAACCCAGGCACTCCAATATGGGATGTGGGTGTCCCGACCAGCTTCTTAACCATTAGGTCAAATGCCCACCTATCATTCCTTAGGTTTTTAGGATGTAATCTACTAATTGTAGACACTTACATTGACATGTTTAGTCACATGCAATAATTCTCCTCTGTGTTAATTAACTTTATTTGTTTTTCTTTTTTGTTGCTACTTTTTTTTTTTTTTTGGCTTGGTCAATATGTTTATTATCTTTATCAGAGAAGTCTTCACAGAAAGTTGTCTGGTTTAGCTCCCAGCAGCCGCTCCTGAGCTCTGAGGAGCTTGCTTTCTTTTGAGCTACCCGATCTTTCTTCTGGGCAAGGGACATTTTGGGACAGTTCTGCCTCCTCTTTTTAACTTCTCTCTTACGCATCTTCTCATAGACTGGATTCTCTTGCGTAGCTGCATGGGCTTTCTTAGACATCTCCTCCATCCTTCTGGAGTCACACTGTTTTCTATGTATTGAGAGAACTGTTTCTTGTAAGCATCTTCATTTTTGTCCACTAGGGTAATGCATATAATCTGCAATGTTTTGACCCATGGTGTGCTTCTGGTGTTCTTCCACATTAAACTGCTTGCTTTCAGAATCATAAATAGGGAATCATTTTGGTACTATAAGGGATAGAGAAGCCTCCATCCACAGCTCCCTTCAAAACTCCAAAAACGTAACTGCCAGTAGTAGTCCTGGCACGACTTGCATCCAAACAGCGGGTGGGGGCACCAGGCTGACCGTCAATGCTTTCCACATTGTATTCATCTCCAGGCACCTCATTTGGCCTGCATAGATCTTGTCCATGCCAAACCTACTGAGAATTCGGTGAGCCAGCAGCAGGCCAGTACAATGTGCTGCAGCATCGTCCATCAGACCCACTTTCACACTGTGTTTTGGTAGTTCGTGTGCATAAGCTGCCCACTATCATATCCCCTTCAATATGGGCACAAACAATCTGACAAGTGATCTCTCTGTTACATGAACTATCATCCTGGATTTGGGTGTGTTGTGCTTATTTTTATCCTGGATTACCAAGCACTTCTGGGCATAGTAATCAACGTACTCTCTTATCACCTTCTAATTTTCATGTGGTATCTACTAAAGTAGGCCTTGTTCTTGACATCTTTAACAAAGCCCATGCTGTGGCCCAGAGACTCATGACCGTGGCTCAACACATACCTCTGTTTTCATGATTCATTTCTTCCCTATTCAATTTTTGTATTTATGATAACACTCACATGGCTCCAAAATAAAAATCATATAAGGAATATTTAGAGACGTCTGGCCTCTAGCCCTGTACCCTCCTCAATCCTTTCCCTATAAATAACCATTTTTATTAGTTTTTGGCTCATCCTTGTATTGTTTTTTAAATAAGCAAATTACACACACACACACACACACATCCATTTTCTTCTCTTTCTTACACAAACAGAATACCTCTATAAATACTATTCTGTGTGTGGAGATAATTTTATAGAAGTATATATAGGTCTTCTTTCCTCTTTATAGCTCATAATATACCACGGGTTGCTGTAGCTTGCATGATTCAATCAGTCTCTACACAGGTGGCATTTGCATTGTTTTCAGTCCTTTGCTGTTACAAAACTGCTATTTGCAAAACTTCCTTCCATGGCAATGTGGGAGATTGCCTATTTCTTCATAACCCCACTCACACTTGTGAACTTTTGTCTGTTGAAGAGTTGAAAATGCTCCTAGTGGGCCGGCGCCACGGCTCAGTAGGCTAATCATCCGCCTTGCAGTGCCGGCACACCGGGTTCTAGTCCCGGTCGGGGCGCCGGATTCTGTCCCGGTTGCCCCTCTTCCAGGCCAGCTCTCTGCTGTGGCCAGGGAGTGCAGTGGAGGATGGCCCAGGTGCTTGGGCCCTGCACCCCATGGGAGACCAGGAAAAGCACCTGGCTCCTGGCTCCTGCCATCGGATCAGTGCGGTGCGCCGGCCGCAGCGCGCCGACTGCGGCGGCCATTGGAGGGTGAACTAACGGCAAAGGAAGACCTTTCTCTCTGTCTCTCTCTCTCACTGTCCACTCTGCCTGTCAAAAAAAAAAAAAAAAAATGCTCCTAGTGATGCTTTAGGATGGCTTTCTCTTCTTTGAGTGTGATTGAGGACCTGTCTATGTGTGTATGCATCATTGCCACTTTTTGCTTGTCAACTGTCTATTCATATCTTCTGCTGGTTTAGTGATATTTGAACAGAGATCTGAAGGCAATGGGGCAGAAAATCACATCGACAATAGGGATGGCATTCCAGGCAACAGGAACTGCCGGTGTAAAGGCCCTGAGGCAGAAACCTGCCCAGCCAGTTGAAGGATAGGCACCAAGAAAAGGGAGATAAAGGAAATTCGCAAAAGGAGTCAGATCAGCGGGGCTTGGAGGCCGCAGTGTGGACTTGGCCGTTCCTCCGAGTGACGAGAAAGCCATTGGAAGGTTAAGAGAGAAACCGATGATTCCACACACATTTCCACAGGAGCCCTCTGGCTGCCCGGTGCAGAGCAGACTGCAAGGCTGGAGCAGGGAGGTCGGTCAGGAGGCAGTCACAACGATTCAGACGAGCCGCGAGGCCGATGTGGCCCGCAGTGGCAGCGAAGGTGGGACAGGTGGTTAGGTCCTGAAGACACTCCCAACAGCAGGCCTCAGTCTTACATGTGATCTCTGTGAGGGAACCTGCCGCTCATCCACTCACACACACGCTGTAGGTGAGAGGTACTAACCGCGCACCTGGGAGAGTGCTGACCTCATGGCTCCTCCCCTCTGGATCGGATGGAAATCCACTCTTCTTACAGAGCTTCATGGCTTTGCTGGTGTCTGCACTTCTAGGTTTTCTTGGAACCCCAAGTTCATGTCACAGGATCATTGCCTAATTTTCTGGTCCATTCACAAAACCTTTTTGTGCTTGTTTGTGGTGGGAGAGAGTGAGTTATGCCTGTATTTTTGTTGGTTTGGTGAGTTTTGCTTTTTAAAAGATCACATATTTCAATTAATCTTTAGGGTTGCCTGGTTTTCTTTGCAAAATAAATATTCACATATGCCTAATTCTAAGTAAATATCCAGTCTCTTAATACTGTGATGTTAATCAGAACTATACCTAGAGTGGGTATATCAAATCTGCAAGTGAGAGAACATACCTTTTTACATCAAACATTTCAATAAAAGACAGTTCTTTTCCTTTTTAAAAATTAATTTATATGAAAGGCAGAGTTACAGAGAGAGAGAAACAGACTTTCTATCCACTGATTCACTCTCTAAATAGTGGCAACTGCCAGGCCTGAGCCAGGCTGAAGCCAGGAACCTGGAACTCAATCCACGTCTCCTATGTGGGTAGCAGTGGTCCAAGCACTTTGGCCATCTTCCAATGCTTTCCCAGGTGTATTAGAGGGGAGTTGGATCAGAAGTGGGACAGCCTAGACTTGAACCGGCACTCATATGGGATGCCAGTGTTGCAGCAGGGGCAGCTTAAGCTGCTGTGCCAGGACACTGGGCCCCCAAGATAGCCTCTTAAAACAGATATTTGTAGTCTTACTGTATAAGCCAACAATTCTTGGGACTATTAGGACAAACCTTTCAACAAACCTGTCACTATAGAAAATAGACTTGTCTCTTTATAGTGGCAGAATAAAAAATAAGAATAGGTCTAACTTAAAATTTTATGGTAAATTGAAATTCTATTTCTTATTAGAGTTAGAAGCTCAACTTCCCAGCAACATGATAAAAGTAATATATTTCACATGCGGTGGTACCTTTACTTTTACCTTGCTAAATAAAGGCAAATTGCTAAGTGGATGTTTACATCTCCAGAAGCATTTGTGTCCCAGCATTATAAAGCTTCTGTCAAAGTTCCTGATTAAAACTCCTGTGGTAATTTTAATTCTGATTAAGACTGCATCTGAGGCTTATGAAAACTGATTTTCACAATATTTTGCCTGATGCTTTAGAATTGAGTGCTGTATTAAAAAGGGGGGAAAAAAAGATTGGAGTAGAGTAGGAAAGGGGAGCCCCTGTTTTGTCTGATGAGCCAAGGATGGCAAACAAGACTTGGGGAAGACTCGGCCTGTGGCCTTGGTGGTTAGCTTAGTACTGTTCTTAGAGCAAGTCACCGGCTTCATGTGAACTACTATTCTGCCCCCAGGCACTTCCAGGGGCTCGTCTCCCTTCTTGCACTCAATAAACCCTCACCTGCATCCTCGCCTGTACCACGGCTGCTATGGGGACATCATGACCATGGAGACCTCTGGGGCGCTCTGTAACATAAAGAGTTTGCTTCACTGCGGTAAGTGGAAAGCAAAGCACATCCCGGCATGCCCCCTTCCCCTGTTTTCAGATTCTTTTTTAAAAATTAATCTTGAAAAGCTGGAATCATTATTATAACATGGAATATCAAAATTACAAGTTAGAAAAAATACCAGAATGCTGACCAACCTAACGAACCATTTTACTTCCCCCAGGCCTGGCCCATTCTTTCCAAACCTTGGCCACATACATTTGCTTTTACCATTGAAACTATTCCTTAAGTAAATGTTCTAGATCCTGGCTTTGTTTGCTGCTGTGCTTACCCGTGTGACAGCATGAGCATTTTAGCAAGGCCTCTTGTTCTTTGTGTGTGCTTTCCTTTGTCATCCTAGTGTCAGAGGGTCAGAGCTGTGACTGCAAGGTCACCTCTAACCCTATCCTGTTAATGTACAGATGTGAGCCCCGAGCCTCAGCAGAGAAACTCCCCAAGGCTCAGCGCTAGGTGGTGGCAGGGCCAGATTAAAACTCAGATTGGCTGACTCCTAGTCAGAATGAGAAGACATGAAGGAGAAGGGCAAACAGAGCAGAAGTGGTCCTGTTATTGGGTGTGGGGCTGTCTGGTTTTCTATAGATCCAAGGGGTGGCTTAGAATGGGCAGTAGTCAGAGACGTGGCCAACTTAGTAAACTTGGGAAAGGATTCTCTTAGGGAATGGAGGAAACGCAGTTTCTCTTCTGTTTACTTAGGGATACGTGGTTCAGAAATGTTTGCTGAGATGGATTTGAGGACCTTGAAGCCCTACCAGACTCTGATCAAAGAAGTGGGACAGAGGCATTGCGTAGACCCTGCTCTCGTCGCAGCCATCATCTCCAGAGAAAGCCACGGAGGAGCTGTTCTGCAAAACGGCTGGGACCACAGAGGCCTTAAATTCGGCTTGATGCAGGTATTCAGCTAGAAACTTTCCATCAGCCCCACTTCTGCAAAAACTTTCCTTGCACAAACTAGAAATCTGTCTGCGATGCTTACAGGCCCCGAATCACTCAGGCATCTGGCTATACTTTGTTCTGAGATCTGTGTAACACATCTCTAGTAACAAGATTTATCATTTATTGGGTATCTTCAGAGAAATGTTTTATAAGTTTTATAACTATAATTTTTTAAAAGATTTATTTATTTATTTGAAAGTCAGAGTCACACAGAGTGAAGGAGAAGCAGAGAGAAAGAGAGAGGTTTTCCATCCAAAGGTTCACTCCCCAGATGGCTGCCATGCCTGGAGCTGCGCTGATCTGAAGCCAGGAGCCAGGAACCTCCTCTGGCTCTCCCACGTGGGTACAGGGGCTCAAGGACTTGGGCCATCCCCCACTGCTTTCCCAGGCCGTAGCAGAGAGCTGGGTCAGAAGTGGAGCAGCCGGGACTCGAACCAGCGCCCATATGGGATGCCGGCACTGCAGGCAGCGGCTTTACCAGCTACGCCACAGCACTGGCCTCTTTAGTTTTATAATAAATAATATGCCCTCTGTTTTAACTGAGAACATACTCTAAAGAACACTATTATTGTACGTGTCCTCTTGGGGTTCTTGAAGTAGTACAGTTCATCCATGGCGATAAAAATACTTTAAGCCCTTCTTGAACCAACTTGTTCCTTTGGGTAAATTGGAGAAAGGGATCCAAATTATTGGAATATTTGCTTTCAGGCTCCATTTTAAATTGTTTGTAGAGGGGCTGGCATTGTGGTATAGCAGGTAAAGTCACCACCTGTTGACATCGGCATCCCATATGAGTCCCAAGTGCTCCTCTTCCAATCTAGTTCCCTACAAATGGCCTGAGAAAGGCAGCAAAAGATGGCCCAAGTGCTTGGGCCTCTGCCACCCACATTGGAGACCCAGAAGCAGCTCTGGGCTCCCGACTTTGGCCTGGCCCAGCCCCAGCCATTGCAGCCATCTGGGGAGTGAACCAGCAGATGGAAGACCTCTCTTTCTCTGGAAGTCTGACTTTCAAATAAATAAATAAATCTAAAAAAAATAAATTAAGAAACCTAGACTTCAGTTGGGAGGGTGGGTATGGTGGGAGCTGAACTATATATATATATATATATATACATATATATATATATAGTATATTCCTAAAGTTGTACTTATGAAATGTATGAAGTTTGTATCCCTTAAATAAAAGGTTTCTTTGGAAAAAGAGAGAGAGAGAGAGAGAGAGAGAGAGAGAGAGAGACTTAGACATCTAGCCTTTCTGGTTAGAAACAAATTTTTATCTTAATTAGCTGGATAATAATTTATTACTATAAGTGTCCAGACTTTGGGTGCTAACTGTATGCTTTAGAACAACATTCTTTTTGTTATTATACTTTTGGTTATTTTACAATGCTTAGCTAAAAGTATGCCACGTCCACTTGCCCCAAACCTTTCTTTGTTTCACTGACACTATATTAAAGAAAGGACAACAGAATTGATTCCTTGGGATAAAGGAAACGTGTCAAGACCAGTGTCTTTGAACTTGAAGATAAGGAAGAGAAATTAGGAACTGCAAAAAAAATGTGTCGCCTCATCCAGATGCTGATATTATGACTTTAATTTTCTAGCTTGATAAACAGATTTGCCACCCAATTGGTGCCTGGGACAGCAAAGAACACCTCTTACAGGGTGTTGAGATACTAGCAGACAGAATTAAGGCAATCCAGAAAAAATTCCCCACATGGAATATGGTTCAACATCTCAAAGGTAGGCCCTATAAGTAGTGCTGTGTAAATGAGTAGGGAATGAGACTTGAGGGTCAGATGCACCCTTGGCCTCCCTTGTTGGGTCAGCAGTGGGTCTGGGAGCTGTGAAAGGCTGAACTAGCATTTTGTGAATTGTTGAGTTACTTCTTCCACAGACTCCTTTCCCCTCTCTAAGATGCTGGGCTTCTTGCAGCATCTCTCTCATCCGGACCGAACCATTGAATGATGCCCTGAGAGTCAATGTGATGGCTTCAAAGAATGTTTGCCTTCTTCTCGTAGCATCTCTTGTGATGCAAGATACTGTTAACCACTTTCCAGGTTGTTTGGATAAACTTTGACTCTGCAAGCATTCTCAGGGTTTCAGGTACCCTGAGAAGCCCAAGTAGAGATCTCCAATTGGCAGACCACAGCCTCCCTCAAATTCAGTACTGTCCAGACAGAATGAACACACTGGACTCCCACCATAAATCTACTCATCTTCTGCATTTCACGTGTCTTTGGATGGACCATCATATAGCCAGGAATCTCAGCCAGAAAGCCAGACTGTTTTTGTAAGCCCTCTGGTCCCTTCTCTTATCACATCCAACTATATCAATTCCTATAGATCCCCAGTATATGTAAAGCCTCTCTTCTTCTACCCTTGATAGTCTTAATTCAGAACAGTTTCTCTGTGTCAAGATTATTAAAGGCAAGGAGTCTTTTACTCTTGAGATCAAAGCAGAGTACAATTATGTTAAATACACAAATAATTATTGAAGATAAAATGGCAGGGTAGAATAGCACATGCATGTAGGTGCGCACGCACACACGCACACACACACACACATCCTATGAAGAAATGAATGCCTTGGGTACCTTGCATTCAGTGTGGCACCTCTCCTGGCACACAGTAGGTATTCAGAAACATTTATTGAATAATGAGTTCAGTGAGTGACTAAATGAGTAAGTTATCAAATAAAGCTTTCTCAGAATGAAGATTTGCTGGGGATTTAGTTCTTCCAGGCCTAGACTACACAAAGATCAAGCATAATGTGTGCAACAAGAAAAACAAGAGAGAAAACCAAATGGGGATTTTCCTAGTGAGTTTTGGGTAGTGCAGCCTTTCAGGGAGGGGTGAAGGAGAAGGAGGGTTTGGGTCTACCTGCTTTATAAGATTTGCCTGGACGGCCAGCATCCTAGGAATGCTCATATTTTATTTTTGTTGACAGTTAATATGTGAATGTAAGCCTCTGTGTTTCATTTCAGGTGGACTCTCAGCCTTTAAGTCAGGAATCGAAGGCATTGACACACCTGCAGACATAGATGATGACTACGTCGATGATGTTATTGCCAGAGCTAAATTTTATAGACATCATGGTTACTAGGCAAAGCTCTGTAATTGGGTCAGGTTGGCAAGGTACCAGGTGGCCTCTTTGAAAGTTTGATATGAATGTGTTGCACTCAACACTGACAAAGAAATGGTACAAATTATAAAAGAAAATTCATTTGCCAACTTCCTTAATGAAAATAATAAGCAGTTAAAAAAAAAAAAACCCAGCCCCCCTAGGGGTATGTGTTGGCTTAGTGGTGAACACCAGTTAAGACGCTTGTATTTGATACCTGCTCCAGCTCCTGACTATGACTTCCTGCTAATGTGGACCCGGGGAGGCAGCAGTGATGGCTCCAGTACTTGAGTTCCTGTCACTCACACAGGAAACCTGGATTGAGTTCCTGGCTCCCTGGCCATTGTGTGTATTTGGGGAGTGAACCAGCAAAAGACAACTCTCTCTTTGTCTTTGTGACTCAAACAGACATGAAAGAAAGAAAAGAAAATCCTCCTCGTTCACAATATGATTCCCAAGAAATGTACAAAGAGTCTTCAAAAGGTTCATGGAAAATGTGTATTACAAGAAATTTTGTGTGAATTAAAAATGTTTTGTACCAAAAAAAACTTAAGTCTTTTAATTCCACTTCCAAAAAACTTTTTGAAGTACCCTTGTACATACAATAGCTTTGTAGCCACTGTGAACATCATGACAGGTGACATCCACATGCTCCTGTGCGGTCTCATATAACCCATGATTTCAATGTCCCCTACTCCTCGTCTACCAGAATTGCTAACGAGAAGTGAAGTGAGTCTGGTATGAGCCTCTGTCCTCTCCTCATTATCTTCCCAAACCACTGTGGCTTTGCTTACGAGACTAGTCAGCCAGCTCCCGGGACAAGGGAGAAGTTAGGGATGGAGCTGTGGCTTCACAGGTTAACACAGAGCTGACCAAGATAAAGTGATCTTCAAGTCACATCCATCACATTCCTCAACCATACCAACCTCCTGTGTCTTCTCGTTTTTTTAAAAGATTTATTTATTTACTTGAATGTCAGAGAGAGCGAGAGAGAGCAAGAGAGAGAGAGAGTCTTCCATCCACTGGTTCACTCCCCAAATGGCTGCGACAGCAGGGCCTGAGCTCATTGGAAACCAGAAGCCAGAAGCTTCTTCTGGGTCTCCCACGTGGTGCAGGGGCCCAAGGACTTGGGCCATCTTCTACTGCTTTCCCAGGCCATAGCAGAGAGCTGGATCGGAAGAGGAGCAGCTGGGACTTGAACTGGCGTCCATAAGGGATGCCAGCACTGCAGGGGGCGGCTTTACCTGCTACACCACAGTGGCGGCCCCTTCTCTTGTTTTCAAAAGATCCAGGGACTGATTCCCCTTGGTTACTTTGTTCTTTGGTTTTGCTCAACCTACCCAAAATTTTCCTTCTTCTTGAAGGAAACCAGGTGCTATTTGTAGCCTTTACTTCCATAATCAGGAGAGGATACAAACAATTGTATGCTGGAGTGGAAAAGTCACAACATCCTTGCTGACGTGGCTGGGCGTTTAAGTTCAATGAATGTTTCTACCCATCACTACTCTCGGAAGCAACCAACATCATACTCACCTACCTCTGAGCCACTTTGGGGAATGCCAGGTAAACCCTTTCCTGCCCAATGACTTCTCAACCTACCCTGAAGATCTGAACCAGGCAGAATGAGAAATAACTGTTTCCCTAGGAAGAGCCAACAGTCAGTGTGGCAGTGATACAGCGTACAGTCCTGCATCTCTTGTGATAGTTTGAGGTCCACATTGTCACAGCTGCTGAGTATTGTGAACACCATCCTGGCAAGTGAGCAATCCACATGTCTACTTCGATTAAGAATGACTGCTTCGGGGCCAGCACTGTGGTGTAGCAGGTAAGGCTGCCGCCTGCAGTGCCGGCATCCCATATGGCCGCTAGTTCAAGTCCTGGCTGCTCCACTTCAGATCCAGCTCTCTGCTATAACCTGGGAAAGCAGTGGAAGATGGCCCAGGTCTTTGGGCCCCTGCCCCAACGTGGGAGACCAGAAAGAAGCTGCTGGCTCCTGGCTTCAGATGGGCTCAGCTCCAGCCGTTGCGGCTCTCTGGAGAGTGACCCAGCAGATGGAAGACCTCTCTCCCTGCCTCTTCTCTCTCTGTGTAACTCTGACTTTCAAATAAATAAAACTTTTTTTTTTTTTTGACAGGCAGAGTGGACAGTGAGAGAGAGAGACAGAGAGAAAGGTCTTCCTTTGGCATTGGTTCACCCTCCAATGGCCACTGCGATTGGCGCGCTGCGGCTGGTGCACCGCGCTGATCCACGGCAGGAGCCAGGTGCTTCTCCTGGTCTCCCATGGGGTGCAGGGCCCAAGTACTTGGGCCATCCTCCACTGCACTCCCTGGCCACAGCAGAGAGCTGGCCTGGAAGAGGGGCAACCAGGACAGAATCTGGCGCCCCGGCCGGGACTAGAACCCGGTGTGCCGGCACCGCAAGGCGGAGGATTAGCCTAGTGAGCTGCGGCGCCGGCCAAAATAAATAAATCTTTAAAAAAATGCTTCTTGGCTTTTCCTCACAAGCATGCATTCACTTCATTAACAGCACCTGCAAAATCACTCTACAGTGATAATGCTGGGGAGTGGGGCTAATCCCCTGCTACTCTGAGCTGACAAGCAAGCACGCAACACACTTCACTGCATTTCTAAGTAAAAGAGGCTGCAGGGATAGAAAGGCAGACACCAGCAGTTGGAGGTCAACTGGGAATTCTGAAGGGTTCAGGAATATGGGAGGTACTGATGATATCTCCATCACAAGGGCGAGGCACACCTGGAGGTTTGGACTATCCCTCCAACATGGTTTGCCTGCATCTATTACTTAACAACTTGCTAAGAATAATCTGGGAATAACACAAAAGCCTCATTATGCCTTATGATTTCCATGGCAAGCTTCTCCACAATCTGTTAGAAACACAAATTAGATATAACAGAACTGCCTGCTTCATCCTCTTCCCCATCTCCAGCTCAACAGCTGGCCTCCGGAATTTACCGAGAACAGTGTCAAAGCCGTGGGACTTGCGTGGCACCACCAACTATTCCTGTGTCTTCAGAAACCCTCAACTTCTTTATATTGTTTGCTGTGCTCCTTTCATGGATAATGAATTATTTCATATCTGCATACTACTGCGTAAAACATCACTTCTTCCAGTAGTTCAAAAACTAGGCTTCCATTGGGAGATGAATAAAGATTGTCTTCTAGTTTTCAAAATAAAAATCTGAAAACATTTCCCCCGTGGATCTTTCATGATTACATTCTTACCCCCTCCCCCCCCTTTTTTTTTTGGCCATCAATGCCTCACATCCTAGAACTGAGATATAAGTGGAAATATGTATTTGGTATCCAGCACTGTGCAGAGGCGGCAAGGGAATGACGTTTCAGCTTCAGCATCTGTTCTTTCTAATATGTGTAATGTTCTCAACACTGATATTTAAAGCCCAGGGGTAAATAGAGATGATGATCAAAGCACACAAAGCCTTAATCAGGACAAATAAGGTTTTGAGTTTTTAATTAATTAAATTATTTGAAAGGCAGAGTTACAGAGAGAGAAGCACAGAGATCTTCCATCTGCTGGTTCACTCTCCAAGTGGCCACAATGGTCAGGGGTGGACTAGGCTGAAGCCAGGAACTTCTTCCAGGTCTCCCACATGGGTACAGGGGCATAAGCACTTGGGCCATCCACTGCCTTCCCAGGCACATTAGCAGGGAACAGGATTGGAAGTGGAGCAACTAGGACTTGAACCAACGCCCATATGTGACAGTGCTGCTGCATACAGCGGCTTAACCTGCTGTGCCACAGTACCAGCCCCCAAATAAGGTGGATATTTTAGATCTACTGCATAGGATGTTGACCATGGTTAATAATAGTTAATTGAACATTTCAAAATCACTGAGTATAAATTCCAAATGTTTTTATTCCCCAAAATAGTACTTAATATGTTAATTAGCTTGATTTAGTTTACATTGCATTCATAAATAAGAATGTAAAAGAAATTAGGTTTCTGATGAATAAAAAGATTATAAATCTCAATAAAGAAATAGAAATGATAAAACTAAATGGTAATTCCAGAACAGAAAATAATGTCTGTAATAAGAGAGATTTCCAAAACCATAAAAGCTTTCTTCATGCCTCTTTCTAGTCAATATATCCCTTCCCTAAGAGGTTCTGACTTGTACTAAGGTAATTTGAACAAAAAGTTTATAACAAAACAGATTTAAAATCAGTTTATTTTGGCACAAAAAAATTTGAAATCAATGCATACATGGGGTTTTTAAAAGGTTCATGGAAGTGGTGTTGTGGTGCAGTGGGTTGGGCTGCTGCCTGCAATGCCAGCATTCCATGTGGGTATCCATTCAAATCAAGGCTGATCCACTGGTTATCCAGTTCCTGGTATTGTGCCTAGGAAAGCTGCACAAGATGGCCCATGCTTGAGCCCCTGCACCGATGTGGGAGCCTGGATGGAGTTCCTGGCTCCTGGCTTTGGCCTGGCTGAACCCCAGCCATTGAGGCCATTTGAGGAGTGAATTAGGGAGAGATCTGTTTCTCTTTCTCTCTGTGTGGAACTCTTTCAAATAAAATAAATCTTTTAAAAAAAGTTAATAAAAAATGTAGATTATGAAAAATTATGTAAGGACTGCTAAATTTTTGTGTCAAAATAAATTCATCTTAAAATTCCATTTCCATGAACGTTTTGAAGTACCCTCATAATACTATAGAGTAGTTTTGCCTGTTATATGAATAGAATCATACAGTTTGTACTGTTTTGTGCCTGACTTCTTTTGTTCAACATAATTTAGCCTTTGAGGGGCAACCATCTGGAATAGCAGTTAAGACCCTAACTGAAACCCTCCACACCCCGTATCAGAGTACCTTTATTACTGTCAATCTTTATGCTTGTTATACTGATGGCTACACAGTGATAATATATGTTATTCTGATTTGCACTTACCTAGCGGCTAATGATGAGAATCTTGTCACATGCTTATTGGCCATTTGACTATCCCCTCTTGCCTTGTGCTTTTTTTTTCCCCTAAAGATTTCTGTGTTTTACTTGAAAGTCACAGTTATACAGAGAGGAAAGGCAGACAGAGAGAGAGAGAGAGAAAGAGACATCTTCCATCCGTTGGTTCACTCCCCAATTGCTCCAAGGGCTAGAGCTGCACCAATCCAGAGCCAGGAGCCAGGAGCCAGGAGCCAGGAGCCAGGAGCCAGGAGCCAGGAGCCTCTTCCGGGTCTCCCACATGGGGGCAAGGGCCCAAGGACTTGGGCCATCTTCCACTGCTTTCCCAGGCCATAGCAGAGAGCTGGATCAGAAGTGGAGCAGCTGGGTCTTGAACCAGCGCCCATATGGGATGCTGGCACTGTAGGCGGCAGTTTTGCCCACTACACCACAGCACTGGCCTTGCCTTGTGCTTTTAAAGTCTTTCATCAAGTGTTGGTGGGATTTTTGGTCTTTTTCTAACTGCTTTTTAAGGATTATTTTATAAATTCCAGATATGAAATATATATATATATATGAAATATATATATATCTTGTAACTCTCTTTTTCTAGTTTGGGCTCTGCATTTTATCAGTCTTCATGGAATCTTTTGAAGAACAGAGTGGCTAATTTTAATAAAGTTTTATTTCAACACTTCCTTTTACTTTCTTATGTCCTATTTAAGAAATCTTTGCATATTCTAAGACATGAAGATGACAACTTGATGTTTTTATTTTCCTAAAGTTTTGGTGGTTTATCTTTCACATTTTAAGTCTCATAATTCATTTTGACTTAATTTTGCATCAGAGTCAAAGTTTGGTTTTTTCATTCTCATATGGCCATTAAGTTAGCTAGCATCACTTACTACAAACACTATCATTTTTCCACTGAATTGCACTGATGATATTTTTCATAAATCAGGTCACTTACATGTATGTGTCCATTTCTAAATTCTTTATTCTATTAGTTTTTTTTTTTTTTGCTTCTACCAATACTGCATTGTTTATCTTTGCAATAAGTTATGATATCCTGTGGTGTAATTTCACCTACTTTGTTCTTCAATATTGTCTTACCTGTCCTGTCATGTAAAACTTTATACAAGTTTTAGAATCAGCTAAATTCCACCAAAATGTTAAGACATTTCAAAGGGATCACACTGACTGTATACCAATCTAGGAAGAATGGTTATATTCACAACATCAACTTTTTTACTTCATGAATGTCAGATATGTATTAGGGTTCTCCAAATAGATATGAGAGGTGATTTATTAGGGGAATGGGCTCAAACAATTATGGCAGCTGGGAAATCCCAAGATAGACTGTCTGCAAGCTGGAGACCTGGGATGCCAGCAGCATGGCTCAGTTAAAGTACAAAGGCCTAAGAACCAGGAAAGACAATGGGATACCTCTCGCTCCAAAACTCAAGGCCTGAGAACTGGCAGAGGGGTATGTGTGGGGAAGAGTCCAGTTGACTTTCCATATTTATTCTCTCTGGGCCACCTGGATGGTTCCTACCCACAATAAGCATGGATCATCCCTACCGCGTCCACTCAGACTCACTCAGTAATCTCTGGAAATACCTTCAACAGGCACACATCCAGGTATCCTTTAATCTAATCAAGTTGACAACTAAAATCAATAATCACAACCAATTGTGAAGTCATTTACATCTAAATTGATTGCTGATGAAAAATAATTTTCTTTTACAATTCTGCTATTTGCTACCTATATGTCTATATCATTTTTGCTTCTCAATTCTTACAACATTCTTTGTTTCATGCTTGATTTTTTTATAGTATGCTTTTTTTTAATTAATTAATTAATTTATTTTTTTGACAGGCAGAGTGGACAGTGAGAGAGAGAGACAGAGAGAAAGGTCTTCCTTTTGCCATTGGTTCACCCTCCAATGGTATAGTATGCTTTTTGATACCATCCTCAATTCATATATATATATATATATATATATATATATATATATATATAATGGTAGAATGGATAAAAAAATGAATTGTATGCTGTGTGCAAGAGACTCATTTTGGATCCAAAGACACAAACAGATTGAAAGTGACTTGATCAAAAAAGATTTCTCATGCAAATAAACAAAAAATAGCTGTAGTAGCCACCTTAACATCAGACAAAAGTAGACTTTGTCTACAAAGTTTGCTACATCAGACAAAAAGGTCAGTGTATGTAATGACCAAGGAGACAATTCACCAAGATAATATAACATTATAAGCGGACATGTACCTCATAAAACAGCCCAAAAACAGAGGACACAAGCCTGCAAAGAACTGAGGAAGAAACAATCAATTCTATAGTAATTCTGCGATAAGGCAGACATTTCAATATCCCACTTTCTCAATTGATCCACTCTAGACAAAAAATCACTATGGAAAAAGAAGACTTAAACAATACCATAAACTATCTAGATCTAACATACATATATAAAACACCCAAACAGCATCAGAATATTTATTCTTCTGAACTTTACGGAACGTCCTCCAGGATCAAGACGATGTATTGGAACAGAAGTCTCGAGGGACTGTTGCTGTGGTGTAGCAGGTGAAGCCACTACCTGAGACAGCAGCATCCCACAGGGACATGGTTTGAGTCCTGGCTGCTCCACTTCCAATCCAGCTCCCTGCTAATGTGCCTAGGAAAACAGTGGAAGATGGCCCAAATGCTTAGGCCCCTGCACTCATGTGGGAGACTCAGATGAAGCTCCTGGCTCGTGACTTTGGCCTGGCCCAGTCCTGGCTGTTCCAGCCATTTGAGGAGTGAACCAGTAGATGAGAGGTCTCTCTCTCTCTCCCTCTCTCTCTGTAACTCTTTCAAATACATAAAAGCAAATCTTTAAGGAAAGAACACAAGTCTCAATGGGTACCAGACATTATACAAAGTATCTTCTCTGACCAGACACCATACCTTTGCAGGTACAATCAATGAAGATGAGTTGACATGGAATTGGGGACTGAGGGTTTATTCAATGATTAATGTCCTCAGAAGACTAGGGACATTTAGACTCAGAGGGGACACAGGAAAGAAAGCCATGTGAAAATGAGGCCGATGTAGAAGCTCGGAAAGAGGTATGGAACAGATTTTCCTTGAGGGCCTCTCAAAGGACTCAACCCTGCCAACATTTAGACTTTGGACTTCTGATCTCCACATTGAGACACAATACATTTATGTTGTTTTAAGCCACCCAGGTAGTGATACATTGTGATGGTAGTCCTAGGAAACTAATACACTACTTGTTGATGATAAAGTTGCGTTTGCTCTTGGATATACCTTGCCACCACCATATGAGGTGTACAACTCACATAAAGATCTCGATGCCAAAACTGACACTCCACATTTCACTGACACAGGAAAAACAATTGGAGCAGAACCTCTTAAAGTTGATAGATCTACCAAATCTTTCTCCAATTTTTGCCATTGTTCTCCGAAGCCAGAAGGAGGGGCCCGAATCTATAGCTAAAGACCTTATATCCAAATGTCTTCTCACACCTTGTACTAGCTCTTTTAAAACTTCAATCCTGCCAATAATAATAATTTTAAAAAGGTAAGGATATAGATAGATTTATTCAAGACTTCAAGGTTATTAGCAAAAATTGCATCGTTTGCTTCCTGGCAGAACTAACCCAAATACTACTTTGCCTTCAGTTCTTCCAGAAGCCACTAGCTGCACTGAATGGATCTCTGCTCTGCCTTTTCCTGTGAGCCTCTAGACCAGGACAGTCAATATTTCCTGCCTTCTCCTAGGGAGGTGAAGACACCTGGATACACTCGTGCCCCAGGGGTCAATACAGTCAGGCTGCAAGGGTTCACTGAGGTCCCTCCTACTTTGTTCAGAGAAGGCAAACCCATAAAAAGGATATCATTGACTTTCTCTCAGGATGAACAGAAAGGGGACATAAAGTTGAAAAGATAATTTGTAATTTTGCCAAAACAGAAGTTCACAGGTGGGGCATGTTCTATTTAAGGAGGGCAAACTTTTTCCCCCGATAGGCTACACTGTCCAAATGTATGCTAACTCTGCTGCCTGGCTCACCATGTGGTAGCTCCTATGCACCTGCTCTGCCACCACCAGACTTCACCAGATGCCAGGCTATTGGGACCATCTGACCCCGAACTGTGAATCTCCAAACTGGAAAAGATAGAGAACTGCATGACCAAATGCCCAGGAGCTAATGAATAGCTCCAGACGGTATTGCTCCACCAAAATAAGGAGGCACATTGTAAAAAAACAAAAACAAAAAAACCAAACCAGAAGCACAGCACCTATGGAAGATTCTCAGTGACAGGACTCCTCCACCTCTCCTCTGTTTCATCTCCTTTGAGAATACACCTGACACAGACACCAATGCAACAACTCCCCAGTCTGCATGCAGAAAAGCTATAAGTAACAAGGCAAAAATCTAAATGACAGTTATAGAAATACAGCTCTTTTTTATTGATCCACTCACAATTTCTCTAAGACTTTGGAGAACAGCATCTTTTGGTTACATTTTTAATAGTCATGTCATTAAAAAAAGACGTATCCTAGACCGCTCCCAAATTGACAGTTGAGGGGATTTCTAGATTTAATTTGTTATTTCAGACAGTGGATAATGATATTTTCTGAGACTGACACCTGTAGGGAACTCAAAGAGCAGGTCTTCTATGACCTGAAGATTCTTCAACAGCTTCTTCCCCTCTAGCCCTAACTACAAAAATCTTTTATTTATTGGTGGCTACGGCATGCAATAAATCCTGGGAGTTTTAACGCAACTTAAATGGGAATTATCAAAAAAGCCATCACTTAGTAAAAGCATAGCCTCTCCCTTCACCTGGCTGCAGAAGCTTATCTTTCCCTTAGGGCAGTTCCTGAGACTGAGAAACTTCTTGATGCTCCTGCCAAACTAATTCTGGGCTCCTTGCTTGTTCTCACAGTTCCTCTTAGAGTTCAGACTTTGCTACTGAGAACCTGCAGTACTTTCCAGCCAATCAACCTTGGGAGGTTTTGTTACTGCCTCCCACTTAACACTGCTACTATTTACTGCAGCAAATCAATCCCGCCAGGCTCCTGCCCCTGGGGATGACCGACAACGTCATCGTTATCCTACCTCACTTGGGGGACTTGCTGTACTGTCACTGAGCCCCTTTACTTAATCTGATCATACCTGACGCCAGAATCGGAGGACTATCAAGCAATGTCATCCCTAACTGAAACTCTCCTTTATGATACAAGTGTAGTTCAAAAAGTTCCTGGAAAAACAGAATTAAGGTAAGCTTATCTTGGTACAGTTTTTTGGAATTCATGTACAGTGTTTTCATAGTATGCATATTCCACAAACTGACTGGCAATCCTTCATATGGTCCTCTGCGGTACAGTCAGCCCAGAGAACAGAACTTCTGGTACTTATCAGATGACATCAACTAGCCACAGACTGGAAAATAAGCATAGGTACACACAGCAGGTATGCTTCTGGAGTAGCAATGCACTGGAACCAAGGTGTTTCTTATCTCTGCTGGAATTCCCATAAAAAGTAGACAGGTTAGGGAATTGTTAAAGGTACTCCCCTTTCCTCGAACGGTGGCTATTATCTATGCTGAGACTGATAGAAAAAATGATGATATGAAAGCAAAAGGAAATACTCTATTAGATCATTATACCAAACAATCAGACAAAAGCCTCAAAAAGACATCACTGAGAGGGATCCAAAGAGGTCATTATAAAATACAAATGCTTAATTCTGTGGGGTCTTGTCAGTTTGGGCTATAGGCTCTAAGGAGGCCACCATCAACCCTGTCTCCTGGTAGTCATGCCTTCGGGTAGCTTTCTTCTTCCTTGAGCATGGGCAGGACCAGGCTTGCTTCTAACCAGCGGAAGGCAGCAGAGGTGATGGGATACACACAACTGCATTATGTGGGTGTACAGGGCCCATCTTGTTTGAGTCTGCCCAATGCTGGTTTTGAAGCAGCAACTTGCTGTGAAATCTACAGCCATAAGGAAATCAGTTCTGCCAGCCCAAGAGCGTGGAAGCAGATCTCCCAGTCGAGACTCTCTCCAGAACCCAGCCTTGGAGAACACCTCTTGACCTGTGAGACTGGAAGCACACTACCTAGCTAAGCCATGCCCACTTTTTAAATTATTATTATTATTTGTGTGAAAGGCAGAGTTAGAGAGAGTAGAGACAGAGACAGAGACCTTCCATCTCTGCTTCATTCCCCAAATGGCCATAACAGCCAGGACTGAGCCAGGCAGAGCCAGGAGCCAGGAGCTTCTTCTGGGTCTCTCACAAGGGTGCAGGGGCCCAAGCACTTGGGCCATCTTCTGCAGCTTTCCCAGGAGCATTTGCAGGGAGCTACGCTGGAAGTGGAGGAGCCGGAACTCAAACCAGCACCCATATGGGATGCTGGCACCGCAAGCTGGGACTTTAACCTACTGAGCCACAGTGCCGGCCCCAGGGCCACATTTTTTACCCATAGATACTGAGAGACAATGGTGTGTGTGTTATTTTAAGGTAAATTGTGGTAACTTGTTACTTGACAACAGAAGACCAACAAACTGGCCTATTTTTACATGGTCTCCTCCTGGGTGGCAGGGGCTAAAGCACTTTGGCCACTTTCCACTGTCTTCCCATGTGTACCAGCAGGAAACTGGATCAGAAGTGGAATAGCCAGGCCTACCAGCACTCTGACATGGACAGGGAAGATATTAAGAAAAAAAATATTAAGTCCACCAATGTGTTGTTGCTGCCTAAGCAGAATTTTACAAGGACCAAAGGAAATAAAGGCTAACTAGGATGCAGTGGTTCTTCACCATCATCTTCAATTAGCTACCACAGGAATCCCCAGCAGTAGGCCTTCCCTAAAAGTCTGACTTCCGCTCGCCCCTCCAGGTCAGAAATAGAAAAAAGGGAAATAAAATAACCTCCCTCAAAAGATTTCTCCACCCTTTCTCTTATTTCAAATAGCAACCTTATCTGTTATCAGAGGTTCCTTAGGAATTTAAAAAAGATTAATTTTGAAGCTGAAAATAGTCTGTTTCTGAATAAATCCTAAAATGCTTTCATTTCATATCCTTGTTCTATGAGGAAAAAGCTTACACAGGGCTGAATACACTTTGTCCAGAGTGGAATAATAAAGTTTAGGACTAATTAGACAATTAGGAAATAGATAGTACTTTTGGTATGAAATTTCAGGATAAAATGAACCCATGCCCCTGGCTGTATTTACAGTCAAGCACGGGGCAGCCACTCCAGGTGCACGCAGAGTTGCTGGAGTTTGTCTGCATCTTCGTTCTCAGCAGAACAGACTGGAAGCAAGCTCCTGCAGGCCAGGGACTCTGTTTTGGTCAGCTTTGGATTTTTCCAACACAGAGTAGTGTTCACTCAAAGAGCCTGCTATAGTTTACATCTGATATGGTTTGTTCCCCTCCATTGTCCCCTACCCCCGATCCAAGGTTCATGTGCACCATGCAATGGTGCTGAGAAGTGGCAGGACTTTGAACAAGCGGGGCTAGGGCAAGGTGATTAGGTCACAGATTAGGTCACTTCTGGACGGGATTGCTGCCGCTCTCCTGAGAGCAGCTATTACGAAGTGACTCTGACGTCTTAGCTAGCTGTCTTGCTACCTCTCTTACCATGGGATACCTCGCACACAAGTTCCTATCATGATGCTATCTGCCACGACAGGACAGGGCGTGACCCATGGCCAGATGTGGCTGCCTGAGGTTGGACTTCACAGCCGCTAAAACCGTGAACCCAAATAAACCTTTCTTCCTTAAAAAGTGCCTAGTGTTTTTGCTACACAAAATGGACTAAAGACAGCCATTCAGAATTTGCTGAATTCAATTAAATGAGAAAACAACTTTTACAAAAAGTTAATGACAGGGCTGGTGCTGTGTAGTAGTTGGCTAAGCCTCCACTTGTGGTGCCAGCATCCCATATGGGCACTGGTTCTAGTCCTGGCTGCTCCACTTCGGAACCAGCTCTCTGCTATGGCCTGGGAAAGCAGTAGAAGATGGCCCCAGTCCTTGGGCCCCTGCACTGGCATGGGAAACCCGGGAGAAGCTCCTGGTTACTGGCTTCGGATGTGCACAGATCCAGTTGTTGCAGCCAGTTGGGGAGTGAACCAGTGGATGGAAGACCTTTCTCTCTGTCTCTCCCTCTCTCTCTCAGTAACTCTACCTCTCAAAACAAAGAAACAAAACAAAGTTAATGACGATTGCTAACTATGGTGGCAGTGGACCTGAAACTACTGTTTGAACAGTGCTATCCTTACTTATTTTGGAGTCAAACTATCAGGGGAAAAGGAAAAGCATTAAACCAAATAATAGCAGAAGACCCTCCAAGCCTTTAGGATAAGGAAGAATCACAGGGAGGTCAGGCAGTGACAATGACTGGGATTTAATACATTGTAGGGAACACACTTTCTCCCCACCAGTAAGTGGAAGCGGTTTTCGGTGTCCACCCACACTGCTCTGGCTCAGGACTTCACCGCGCCCTGCTCCACAGGTTTTAGGTGCCACTGCACGACCAGTTCCCCGGTGCTCTTGAGGCACGTGCTGGACATGTTCTCCTCTGTTGGAAGGCCTTGTGGCAACTTCAGGGGCTGGATTCTGGGACATAAGAAAATGTGTTTAGGATTGCACTAGGTGACACATCTTTTAAAAAACCTGAGATAATAAACAACAAACCTTATCAAATGTTTAACCACTTTCAGTTTGGCATTCACTGAAGGGATATTCTTGTGAACCTGAGGGGTGTGTGCCTATGAATAAAAGAAAGAGTGCTTGGGTCAATTGAAAAAGCAGATGGCTCCAAGTTTCAGTCAAATGTTAAATGGGGGGCTCACTCAAACTTACAAACCTAGGGAATAAATGCAAATACATTGCATTTACAAACAAGTACACTAGTAACACATTTAAACTAAGAAATAATAAATGTATACCCTAACAATAAATGTATACATTAAGGTTTAAAAAGTATAAAATTTACAGCAGATTTAAACAACATTAACAACAACTAAAACACTACATACTTTTCCTAATCCAAGCATCTTTATTATATTTTTTTCCCAATACGGACGTCGTTTTGTACTTTTTATCCTGGTAACAACATGCAGTTTGTGAGGGTGCTGTGGATCCCCACCGTATTTTTCATGATCCGCAGGTGAAGGTTGAAATACCTGCAACGGCAGAAGCACAAAAGGCACATTTTTCAACTTACGCTTAGTTATTATGCATCTCCATTTCTTTTTCTTCTTCTTCTTTTTTTATTTTTGACAGGCAGAGTGGACAGTGAGAGAGACAGAGTGAAAGGTCTTCCTTTGCCGTTGGTTCACCCTCCAATGGTCGCCGCGGCCGGCGCACCGCGCTGATTCGATGGCAGGAGCCAGGTACTTCTCCTGGTCTCCCATGGGGTGCAGGGCCCAAGCATTTGGGCCATCCTCCACTGCACTCCTTGGCCACAGCAGAGAGCTGGCCTGGAAGAGGGGCAACCGGGACAGAATCCGGCACCCTGACCGGGACTAGAACCTGGTGTACCGGCGCCGCAAGGCGGAGGATTAGCCTGTTGAGCCACGGCGCCGGCCTTCCATTTCTTCTTAAGTGCACACACACACACACACACACACAACTACAAAAAACAGTCTCATTTCTAATCTTCAACCTCAAGGTAAACATTTCTACCATTCAGATTATTCAGAGTCTAAGAATTTCATGTCTTAAGAAACATCACACAGGTGGCCGGCGCCGCGGCTCACTAGGCTAATCCTCCGCCTTGGGCGCCGGCACACCGGGTTCTAGTCCTGGTCGGGGCGCCGGATTCTGTCCCGGTTGCCCCTCTTCCAGGCCAGCTCTCTGCTGTGGCCCGGGAGTGCAGTGGAGGATGGCCCAAGTGCTTGGGCCCTGCACCCCATGGGAGACCAGGATAAGTACCTGGCTCCTGCCTTCGGATCAGTGCAGTGCGCTGGCCGCAGTGCGCCGGCCGTGCGACCATTGGAGGGTGAACCAACGGCAAAGGAAGACCTTTCTCTCTGTCTATCTCTCTCACTGTCCACTCTGCCTGTCAAAAAAAAAAAAAAAAAGAAAGAAAGAAAGAAAGAAAGAAACATCACACACAGGCAAGGATTTTTTTTTTTAAAGATTTATTTATTTATCTGAAAGGCAGAGGCACATAGAGATGTCTTCCATCCGCTGGCCCACTCCTCAGATGGCCGCAACAGCCAAAGCTGAGCCTATCTGAAGCCAGGATCAGAAGCTTCTTCCCAGTCTCCTGCGTGGGTGCAGGGGCCCAAGGACTTGGGCCATCTTCTACTGTTCTCCCAGGCCATAGCAGAGAGCCAGATCGGAAGTGGAGCAGCCGGGACTCGAACCAGTGCCCATATGGTATGCAGGCACTGCAGGCAGTGGCTTTACCCACTACGCCACAGCGCTGGTCCCAGGCAAGAACTTTTTTTTTCTTTAAAGATTTATTTATTTATTTGAAAGAGTTATAGAGAGGCAGAGGCAGAGGCAGAGGCAGAGAGGGAGGGAGAGAGAGGTCTTCTACCTCTGGTTTACTCCCCACCATGGCCACAATGGCCACAGCTGAGCTGATCTGAAGCCAGGAGCCAGGAGCTTCTTCTGGGTCTCCCACGCAGGTGCAGGGGCCCAAGGACTTGGGCCATCTTCTACCGCTTTCCCAGGCCATAGCAGAGAGCTGGACTGGAAGTGGAGTAGCCGGGACTAGAATCAGCAACCATATGGGATGCAGTACTGCAGCCAACGGCTTTACCCGCTATGCCACAGCACAGGAGCATGCAGATGACACTAAAGAATGCAAATGTCTGGAGGATACATTAGCACCAATGTAAGCTGGGCACTGGGCTGCACCCTCTCCCTGTTCTTCAGCTAGGTGTTGACCGTCAAATGGGAGAACATGTAAATTAGAAAGGAAAACAGGGGCCGGCGTGGTGGCACAGCAGGTGAAGCCTCTCCCTGAGACGCTAGCATCCCACATGGGCACTGGTTAGAGTCCCTGCTGCTCAACTTCTGATCCAAATCCCTGCTAGTGTACTTGGCAAAACAGCAGAGGATAGCCCCAGTGCTTGGGCCCCTGCACCCGCACAGGAGACCTGGAAGAAGCTCCTGGCTCCTGGCTTTGGACCTGTCTAGCTCCGGCTGTTGCGGCCATTTGGGGAGTGAACCAGTGGACAGAAGATCTCTTTTTCTGTCTGTCTCTCCCCACCCCCCACACCTCTCTGTAACTCTGCCTTTCAAATAAATAAATCAATCTTTAAAAAAAAAGAAAAAGAAAAAGGAAACACGAATTACAAAGAGTATGTACAAAGTACCACTCACGAGAGTATAGCAAGTGACTGATAAGGCTGCTGGTGCAGGCTGAGAAACAAGCCCTACAGAGCTGACATCTCAACTGTTAGTCTCTGAGTTGAAGGTTCCAGGAAGCTACCACATAGAAACCCTCCATTGAATACACTACTATACTGAACAGAGATGTATAACACCATTTGTACTACCACTGAAACATCTGAAGGCAACACAGATTGCTCCTCAATAGAATAATACAATTCAGCTATTCCAAATAAAACTGAATAATATATGACAAAAATCATAAACTCTGATACATTCTACAGGATACAATGCTGTCATAAACATGAATAAGGTCTACTATCTTTGCAAGTACAAGCACTGAAGGATGGCCGGAACACAAGTATTCCTGAGTCTAGCCATAAAACAAAACAGATTTCCACACCACTATACCTGGCAGACGATGGTATTTGTATCTTCTGTACCAAGTGCATGACTGCCTATGTTTTTAGGAACCATGTAAGATGTATAAACGTCTCAAAGACAGATGATCAAGAGACATCTCTTGGAGAATATGGTCACAAAAGGCTTCCATAGCCTTGGCAGACCCTGGCAAGAGCCTCGGGTGATCACTGATGTCATAAATAAGAGTGTCAATTGTTAAATCAACAACAGAAGTCACTGTGCACTTACTCCCCATGTAGGACCTCCATCCGTAATGAGCTGTATTATGAGAATCTACTGCAAATCCTGTTCTCAAACTGTACTCTATATGTTGTGTGTGTGTGGGGGGGGTACAAACTGTTGAAAATCTATGCTTAACAGGGAGTTGGTCCTCTGTATACAAAATCAAACTAAAAATGACATGGGAGAGGGAGATGGAGGTGGGATGGGAATTGGGGTGGGAGGGTGAGGGTGGGAATGGGGGAAAGAACCGCTATATTACTGAAGTGTATCTATGAAAAAATGTATTCATTAAATAAAAACTTAAAAAAAAAGGAGACATCTCTGTAATTAGACTAACAAATTTTTCTTTTTTTACAAAAAACAGTATAGGGGCCGGTGCTGTGGTACAGTGGGTTAAAGCCCTGGCTCGCAGCACCAGCATCCCATATCGGTGCCAGTTCAATTCAGCTCCACTTCCAATTCAGCTCTCTGCTATGGCCTGGGAAAGCAGCGGAAGATGGCCCAAGTGTTCAGGCCCCTGCACCCATGTGGGAGACCTGGAAGAAGCTCCTGGCTTCAGATCAACTCAGCTCTGGCCGTTGTGGCCACTTGGGGAGTGAAGTAGGGGATGGAAGATTCATTTTCTTTCTCTCTATCTCTCTCTGCTTCTACATTTCTCTGTAACTCTTTCAAATAAATAAAATAAATCTTTAAAAAAACAGTGTTATTCAATGATTACAAATAGTTTTATAGAAACTTATCCACTGAGAGGTTCACATTATGTTGATAAGCAGAAAGCAGCTAGGGAAACATATAGGAGATGACTCACAGGTTTATAAACATACAGTCATAAAGGATACTGAAGGAGTTGACAGAACTGTCTCTGGATAGGTGAGATTAAGGGTATTTTCTGGCTCTTTTTGCTTATATTTTTCTCTGGACTTTGAAGAAATGTAGGGTGAGAAGAATGGTAGAAATCAGAAAATGGGGCAGATGCATGAAAGAAAAGGAGAAACTATAAAAAAGTCTCCAAGGACATGAAACACTTGGGGAAAGCAAGCGGTTCACTGTGGCTAACACAGAACGAAGCACGAAGAGGGTGAAGTTAAACTACGCTCAGCTGTGCTCAGCCTTTAGCAAGTGCCAGCAGGAATACAGAGCAACTGAAGACTGGAAGCAGTGTGACCTATTTCAAAAAAAGCTTCAAAAAGAAAATTCTCACAAGAGGATAAAACGAACCGAGGCTGAGAGACTGGAAGAAGAAACGCAGTTAGGGAGTATGTATAGCCATGACTTACGGCTGAGCTACAGCCATTCCAACAGAAAAGGGCTGAATCTGGGGACATAGAGCAGTAAGACGGATGGATCTGTAGTGGGTAAAGGAGACAGAGCTTGAGCTCGACTCGGACGTCTCTAGTGTGGGAAGCCAGGGAGAGGGCAGCAGCGTGAACTGACCTAAGTAGCATAGGGGCAGCACTTTCCTTGTTCAGTGGTCTGGAGGGAAAGCAAGAGGAGTTTGATTTTGGATATGTTTAACTGGAAATACCCACGAATTATCTAAGCAGCAACATCCAGAAACCCAGTGAGGAATACAAGAGTAAGTTCAGAAAATAGGCAGGGGCTGAAGGTACGCACCTCTGGGTCATTTCTGTGAAGTTTTAAAGTCTTCATGCTTACCACAGTTCATGATTGAAATCACTGCCCTGCCCAAATTTAAAATGAATGCTAACATTTGTATCTATCCTTAACGTCTAACAGTGTGGAGTAAGAAACACGGAACAACGTAAGACAATGTAATGGAAAGACTGTGACTTGAAATACAAAGAGCTTTCTGACAAAAGCATATCAAGTACATTAATGGTATCAAAGTAGTCAATAGTACTACTATAGTAGTACTATTGTACAATAGTACAATAGTAGTACTACAATAGTACAATAGTAGTACTATTTTACCTTTCAAAAAGAGCAATGGAGAATGGTGGTGGACAGAGGCTAGAGATGGAGGAAGGTGACCTAGTGTTTCATGAGTGTAAAGTCTCAGTTCTGCAAGAAGAAAGGCTTGCTGGAGATGGATTACAGTGATGGACGTAAAACAACGTGAATGTATTTAATGCTACTGAACAGTTCACTAAAAAATGAGTAAGACAGTATATTTTATATTATGTGATTTTTATTACAATAAAAAATTAGAAAACCAAACAAAACCCAGGCCTAACCAAGCTAAACGTAATCTTTACCATACAATCCAGGGATGGTCCTAGGCATTTACCCAATGAATGGAAAACTTATATCTACCTGGGGTCAGCACTGTGGCAGAGTCGGTAAAGCTACCACCTGCAGTGCCGGCATCCCATGTGGATGCCAGTTTGTCTCGGCTGCTCCACTTCCGATTCAGCTCTCTGCCATGGCCTGGGAAAGCAGTAGAAGATGGCCCAAGTCTTTGGGCCCCTGCACCCACGTAGGAGACCCAGAAGAAGCTCCAGGCTCCTGGCTTTGGATCCACCCAGCTCCAGCCATTGTGGCCATTTGGGAAGAGAACTGGCAGATGGAAGACCTTTCTCTCTCTTTGCCTCTGCCTCCCTGTAACTCTGCCTTTCAAATAAGTAAATAAATCTTAAAAAAAATAACATCTACAAAAAAGCCTTTTTTTTATTATTGCCCCAAATTGGAAGCAACTAAGATTTCCTTCAATTGACAAATTTACAAAGAAACCATATTCATCCACTCCACAGGATATTCAGAAATGAAAGAAATAAACTATTAGGCCACAACACATGCAGGAACCTTAAATGGATGCTGCTAAATGAAAAAAGCTAGTCTAAAAGGACTGGCCCCAGTCCAGCTCTGGTAATTGCAGGCGTCTGGGGAATGAACCCTCTGTCTCTCAAATAAATAAAAAAATAATTTTTTTAAAAGGTGAGACCTATTGTAAACATATACCACTGGCATATATAACAGAGCATTCTTTGTTTTTAATAATCATTTTACAAATCCTACTGTTTTAAAACTCTCAACTACTACCTATATCCACATAAAATTTAACATATGTTTTCAATATTATAAAAATAGGTATCATTTAAATATAATATGTAAAATTTAAAAAATTATTCTTACTTTATCTGGGATTCTTGATTTGGTAAATTTGTGACGAATCCAATCTGTACAAATGAGAGACTCCACACCTTTTGTCACAGTCTAAAATATAAAATGTTTATTTTTTAGAACTCTGTATTGTGCAGAAATCCATACTCACCAATCTCTAGGTTATGAAAATCTGTTCTGAGCCAACATATAATTTTTAAAGGTTTATTTCAGCTCCCAAGATGAATACATCCTATCTCCCCATGAACACATAATAAATCCAAAAGCACATGAATGCAGACTTCCAGGGCAAGGGTTGGTGACATTTTTCTGGAAAGGACTAGATAAGAACTTCCAGCTCCGGAGCTATACAGGCTCCACTGTCAAGACTCAACTCTGCCATTACCAGGTGAAAGCCGGCATGGACAACAGGTAAATTAATGGGCACTGCTATGTTTCAATAAAACTTTATTTACAAAAATAGGTGGAGGCTGAATTAGTTTACCAACCCTTGGTCTAAACTAGAATATAAAATAATTCACCTTCACCAAACAATGTAGAAGAAACCCAAAATGAGTTTCAGTTTTCTTTCTAGTCCTAAAAACGCCATCATTCCTAGTTCCTACCTCTTGTTTGAGTTTTGTATTCGTCCAATCCCATTTTTCTCAGGCTGCTGAAGAAAAATATTCACTGGGAATGGCACTGTGGTGCAGCAGGTGAAGTTGCTGCTTATGATGCTGTCATCCCATATGAAAGGGCCAGTTCCAGTCCCAGCTACTCTGCTTCCTATCCAGCCTCCTGCTAATGCACCTGGGAAAGCAGTGCAACACAGCCCAGGTGCTTGGGCCCCTGCCGCCCGTGTGAGAGACGAGGATGGAGTTCCTGGCTCCTGGTTTTAGCCTGTGTCGGACTTGGCTGAAGATGGCATAAACACGCAGAGAATGGGCAGGAGGGAGTGGACATGGGAAAGGAAGGACAGGGCTTTCACACAACATGAACACTGGGCTCTAACTCTGTTCTGCTGCCTACCAGCTCTGAGACATGCGACATCCTCTCAGAGTCAGCTTCCTCAGTTTTAGAAAGGACTTAATACTGACCTCATAGGATTAACCTGAGAGTAAGATAATGTAAAACCCTGATATCATCATCTACATCTAGTAGCAGGTGCATACCTAGACGGGCCCAAGTAGATTAGGCTGCACCATCACACTTTCTGAAACAAAGACCAGAAGGAAGTAGATAAAAACACCAACATTCATGGCTTCTGGAAGACTGTTTCTCTTCTTTCTGTTTTCCTATATTTTTCTAATTTTCTATGATTGAAAATGTACTCCTTTCATAATTGAGAGGGGAAAAAACCCTAAAACTTTAAGAAGATTAAGACAGACCAAGTGGGAATCAACAGTACATTTTGTTTACTGACAGGTTTTTCAGGAAAAAAACATCTGTGATTCCAAATCTTTAGGGATGAAACAGATGAAGCTGTAATAAACAAAATCAACCCCAACACTAAAACATATAAAAGGAATGTGTAAACAAATCAAATATACTTGTATAAGAAAGAAAAAATTCCTAAGGGTTAGGGAACAAAAAGATTATTTCTTGCGAAGAAACTCTTACCTGCAGTCTGCCCGGGTGCCTCTGAACTAGCGAGCACAAAATGCCTGCCATGGTATGATGACTGTTCTCTCGGGAGGCTGTAAGGACTAGAACACAGATACGTCGGTCAGTTAAGTCTTGGAAACAGACAGGTGTCACATTCTCTAATATTAAAAAAGTAAGCAAAGGGTGGGCATTGTGGCAAAGAGGTTTAAGCTGCTTCTTAGGACACCCACAACCCCTATGGCAGTGCTTG